AATGTGTTCATAGGTGTTTCGGTTTCTTATGTAAACAGTTATCTGTGAATAATAGTAGTTGCCCGTCTTCCTTTTTATATTTTACACATATTATTTCTCTTTGATGTTCTTGTTCCCTGGCCAAACATAGCTTAGAGGAAGTGGTAATGAGCAGTCTTGCCTTGATCTTTAAAGAGAATGCTTTTGAACAAGTCAATATTGTGTATATCATTTCATTATTTTGTTTATATATGTTCATTAATTATCAGTTTAAGGAAGGTTTTAATTTGTTCTGTTACTTAGCCTTTAAAATAATAAATGATCCTTGACATTTTATCAAAACCTTTTTCTATATCTATTAAGACAAGACAGCTATTTCTCTCCTCACCTGTATTAATGAAATACTGTATTAATAATAATATTAACATGTCCTATAATGTTGATGTGCTCTTGGAATGAAAACTAATTGGTGGTAAGCTCTATCTTTTTGCAAACTGTGTTCTATTCAGGCTGCCCGTGTTTTATTTACAGAGCTGTTTTGTTGATGCATGAGGTTTGAACATAATTTTCCTTTACTCTGGAAAACTTTGGTTGTAGAATCAGTTGTGTTGCCCTCTTGAATTGAGTTGTGCAGTTTTCCTTCCATTTTATTTCTTCAAATTATTTTGTACAACAGTAACATCTGTTTCTTTAATATATTTGACGATCATGGGGAAGGCTAACATTTTCTTGGCAGGAAGTGTTTGAATTATTGACTCAGTTGCTAAATGGAACAAAGGAACAAATTTCCAGAGATGCAACAGTTTGTTGGGGTGGAAACCACTTGAGCCTGTGTATAAGCTGAGAAGAAAGCATCATGAAGGGTGAGATGAGAGACTCCGGAGGGAGCTGGAAGGGAGCAGAGGGCAGTCCCTACGGGCAGGAGGGTCTCCAGTGCCTGGTGGGTGGGATTTTATTTGAGAGGTAGAAAGAGGGCTGGCCTGCCCAGAGAGCACGAGTCGGAACGAGCTTTTGATGAAATGGTGGACATGGATTGGTGTGAGAAACCAGAGAAGTACATGCTATCAGTTTGCTGTGAAGGGGCAAATGCAGGTCATGGACGGCAGCTTGGATCTCCAGGGGTTCTGGCAGGACTGAGATGGAGACAACGTGGCTGTCTGTGAACTCAGGGTGATTACAGGATGTTGGTTGAAGAGATGGGTCATGATAGACTGAGAGAGGAGAAAGGAACTGGGAACTGGATACATCTGGGAAGGTCAAACAAAAAATGGTGGGAGAGTGGGAGGGAAAGAGGAAGCAGAAAGACAGGCATTGTGCTCAGAAAGAATCTGAACTTAGGCTTGTCTGAGTGAAGCGTTCTGGGGCTTGGGGTTGGCTTAGTCCTGGGGTCAACCCTGCTGTCACAGGAGGGGAAATGGAAGGAGACCCCGTGGTTAGGAGTGTGGAGCCAGAGCTGTGTGAACCAACTGCAGGGTAGTTTTCTTTGTTTTGTGAAGCATGACACATGGAGCAGCTGAAGTCCTCACAACTGGATAATGAAGTGGCTCCGGTTATCTCTGGCTTACAGATAAAAAGCCAGTGCCCAGATAGGTGGAGCACCATGCTCAGCTACTGAGATGGGCTTTCGTTCCAGATCTTTCCCATTCCAAAGCTTTCACACTTAAACATTGTCCCACACGAGAGAGAGCCTAGGGAGTTGGGCGAGTCATTCCTGGCCCATCAAAACCTCCCGGAATGAGAGCAGGAGAGGAAGTCTTTAAACCAGACGATGCCAAAGCAAAGACGGGTGGCAGATGGGAGCAACAGATGACAGAGTCCAAGCACCTCTGCTGCACGTGGGAGCAGACCCGGAGTTCATGGAGAGCCATGGTGGGGAACTGGAGCCAGAGCTGCATTCCCTGGAGATGGTCACGGACAGGAGCCTCGAGGGAGAGGCGGGCGTCTGTGCGTGATCCCTGTCCTGGGAGCTCTAAGTGTCGGTCTCATCATTCAAACACAACTCAGGCCCCTGGATGAGGACTCACCACAAGGCTGACATGAGGTTGTCATGCCACAGTGTATGGCAAAGGTGTGTCAGACCAGATACAATGGGAGGCAGCCCCCAGAGGTCAGAGAGGAGCCTCAGAGAAGGCTGCATTGAATTTTGTGAGGAGTGGGTGGCAGACATGGGGAACTTGCAGGGAGTGGCAAACAATGTTAAGGGACAGGTCAGGGTCACCTGAAGTGTGAAGAGCCCAGGGGAATGAGCAGAGCCGTGGGGGCAGGAGGTGGTGCCGGCATGGCCCACAGGCTTCAGAGAGGAGGCGATGTCTGCAGACCCAGAAGACACGCTGGACGAGGGGGTGGCTGCCAAGAGGAGGTGAGGGAAACATTCTCTGAGAGGATGGCGGTTCCCAAATGTGGCAGGAAGGGAAGTTTCCAGTTCCGGGCTGCGTTCTGGAGAGGTGGGAATGAGCACCTGGGCACGAGGGCAGCCTTCTCTGGCCTGGTTTAGGTGACCCAGCCAGAGCTGGTGGGTTCTCCTCATCCCACCACCAAGTGCGTCTGCCCAGCCTGGCACCAATCACTCCACCACAGGCCCCAGGTGACAGGACCCCGGCCCTGAGCGTTCTCATGGGCAGATGAAGGCATTCCCGGTAAGTGGGTGTTCCTCCAACCCTCTGAAATGCAGGTCACCTTCAAGGCACAGTGGTACATGGGATCTGCAGGGGCGGCGGTGTCTTCCGTGTCTGTGTGCACAATGCAAGGCTCCCCCTTCCTCTTCCTCTCCCCCTACCCACTACTCAGTTCCCAGCACAGGCAAGAGAACAGAGTGGGGCATTTCACATTCGGACTCCTCCCTGGACCCCATTGCCACCATGAGGGAGACATTGTTCCCAATTTACAAGCTACAAAGCTTAGGCACAGGGAGATCAAGAGATTTCACTAGGTGTAAATATCCCTTGTAATTATAGAGCTTTTTAAATTTTAAAAAAATTTATTTTTTTTTTTTGTATTTTGTTTTTTGGTGTGCTGTAATTACACAGAACAGCGGGGTTCGTTGTTTTATATTCATACCACACATGATATAACAACATGATTCGGTTAATTTTGTTCCCCAGAATCGAATTTCCCTTCCCCTCCCCTTTTCCCCTCCTGGTCCTTTTCCTCTACTGCACCCATCTCCCTGTGACTCCCATGAGACACCACCACACACACACACACACACACACACACACACACACACACCTTTCTCCTCCTTTTCTCTCTCTAGCTTCCACACGGGAGAGAAAACACACAACCCTGGACAATCTGAATCTGGCTTATTTGACTCCACGTAATGTAGAGCTTTTATTTAAAAAAGAAGTAATGCGCTGCCTTCTTTGTGTCCATATCTCCCCTTTGTTCCTGTTAAACCCAGACAGAAAAGCCCTGCTATTTCCACTGGCAGAGAAGACATGCCCCTCACCCCACGCCTAGAAGCAGCAAAGGCTGGAGTGGCCCAGCAGGACCCTGGCTTTGGGGATCTTTTATTGATTCATTTATATTCATCTGTTTGCAGTGCTGGGAATTGAACCCAGGTCTCATGGCCTTGCCCATGCAGCACCTCCCCTCAGCTTCCCCTCCTCAGTTTTTCTACCTTTAGGTCTCCATGTTAGAGTGACTCGGTGACAGGGGGCTCCCTCCCTCACACCAGGTCCTGGGCTTGATCCCCAGCGCTGCAAAATGAAAAATAACAATAATACACAGGAAAGCCGTGTTCTACCAGCACTCCGCCTCGCTCCCCTGCAGTCTCTTCACAAGGATCATGTGTCCCCCCAGACCTGTTCCAAGGTGTTGGTGACAGTTTAGTAGCTCAGGACTGGTAATGCATGGACAAGAGAGCCTGGCACACAGCAAACACTCAGTGTGTATCTGCCATCATCATCACCAATCCCAGTGAGATGTACAGACTGGCTCAGAGAGGTGAACTAATTTGCCCACAAAAACACAGCTCCAATGCTGCTCAAATCCAGGCCCTCCAGGTTCTGGAACTCACTTCACTGCTGCAGAGGAGAGTGCTCCGAAGGGCCCATGGTGGAGGTGAGCCCTGGGCGAAGAGCACCCTTCCAGGTACATTCTTGTCTACCTTACCAAAGGTTGTCTGAGCACCTCCCCTGCAGGGGACTCTGGAGTACTTCCTGGGCTCTGGCTCGTGTCAGTGGGGGCCAGTAGACACAAGAGAGATGAACAGGGAGCCCTGCAGGGCTTCCTGAAACATCAGGGAAGATGCAGGCTTCTTGGCAGGGCTTCCCGAAACATCAGGGAAGAGCCCCCAGAATCCACCAGAGGGAGGCTGCAGGCGTTGGTGCCTGGGAGCCTGTACCTAGATCCTAAAAGGTCCATGGAACAGTGACAACTGGCATGAGACAGGGAGACAGAGGGACATGGGAGCAGGGGCAGAGGATGTGTATCAGCTCAGAGCCCTGGAACGTGGCAGCAGGCCGGATCCCCACCAGCTCCCCCAGCTCCGTGTGGAATGCCCGGACCAACCTGCCTATCTGCTTTCTAGCCCTGTTCTCTTGGGTGGGAAGCAAGACCCTCGCCATGCCTCAGTTTCCTTGTTAAATAGTCTTTATATTATTTCCGCTAAGTAGGGTTGTGGCAGCAAATGTTCTTCAAATATAATAAGCATTCTGTAATTGTCATTTACAGCAATAATTGTTTTCATGGACATCATTGAACAGATGTGAAAACAGGCCCTGAGAGTTTCCAAGTTTGCCATCCATCCATATCTTGTTTTTTATCCCCGTCCCCCTCCCCCTGAGGATGAATTGGGGTGATACTTTTCTAGGGCTACAGTGACGGTATACCACAGACTGAGCAGCTCAAAAACGGAAATTCACTTTGTCATCATTCTGGAGGCAGGAAGTCCAAGATGAAGGTGTTGGATGGTTCCTCTCCAGGGCTCTCGCTTGGTCTTCCCTGTGTGCCCTGGATGAATGCCCTGGAGGGGAAGGGGAGGGGGGAGAGAGAGAGAGAGAGAGAGAGAGAGAGAGAGAGAGAGAGAGAGAGAGAGAGAGAGGGAGGGAGGAACACCAACAACTCACCTTTCTTCTGCTCTTTGTTCTGTCCATGCCCTCGGCCAATTGGAGGCTCCCGCCCACATTGGAGGAGCATGAGTCCTCCTCACTCCATCCAGTGCTTTGAATGGCAATTTCTTTCTGAAATAAACAAGCCCAGAAATAATGCTTTACCAGCCATCTGGATATACCCTAATCCAGTCAAGTTGACAGATAAAATTAGCCATCATGTAAGCTGTAGTTGATATACAAAAAAAACAAAAAAACAAAAACAACTTGCATACATTTAATGTACACGGCTTGTGTCTGGGCGAATGCAGGCACTCATAATACCACCGTGACCAGAGTACTAACTATATCCATCACCTCCAAGAACTTTCTTATGCTTCTTGTGCTCTTTTTCCCTAGAACACCTAAAATATGGTCTTCTCTTCTACCATATTCTAAAGTGCACAATACAGTTTTATGAACTGTATTGATCCATGATCAATGTTATCCAGTGATGATCCATGCTGGATAACACGTCTCTAAAATTTATTCATTTTACATAGCAGAAAATTTGTACCCATAGAAAACCAATGCCCCATTTCCTCTTCCTGAGAGGCTGGGAGTCTGGCAAGCGCTCTCTGCTCTCTGCCCTATGAGTCTGACTATTTTAGGGCCCTCATTTCATTGGATAATTCTGGATTTATCCTCCTTGACCAGCTTATTTCACTCAGCACAATGTCTTCTGGGTTCACCCGTGCTCTTGAAGAATACGCTGGCATTATGAGCATGGAGCAAAGTCAGACCTATCACCCTGGCCACTGGACTTGGGTCTAGCATCAGTGTAGGGTCAAAGGCAAATTGAGGGGCATGTGGGCACCTCCCCTCCAGACAGTCCTCTGCCTGGCATCAAGCACCACATAGCCCAGTGGTGGAGACACTCTCTGCAGACACCAAGAGACCAGAGTTGTTTTGATTATATCTAGGCCCCTCCCTTGACTATGTCATGTACAGTCCTTGGATTCATTTCATCCCCCTCCGCCCATTTTCCAGTACCTTTGCCCTTTCCCTCACCCCAAAGCCAACTGAACTTCCTGTCCAGGCAGCACCCGTCTTCACTGTAAGAGGAATGGCCAGGACCCTGTAGCACACCTCCCATTCCATCCTGGGAGGAGGGGCTCTGCCTGAGGAGTTGGAGTTCCCAACCAGGACTGTGGCTCCCTCCCAACAGCAGGGACTTTGTGACACTGGGCATGCCAGTGAATAAAGCAATGCTCCAGTCCTTCCCAGCTCTGACACTCTGCTGGTCAGTCTAGGGACCCTACCTCTGAGGCTTACATTGGAACCCCCTACCTGTTCCTTGCACACTCACGTTATAGCAGAACCGACACCCCTGTAGGCAACTCACCCATGTCCCTGGGGGAATGGTGGATGGGGAGGAATTTGGCTGATTTCAGTGAGTGTGCTGGGGTAGAGGCAGGGGTTTCAGTATAGAGGATGCAGGAGGAAATACCATGGCCACATGTTTGTTTACTCTGTATCAAACACAGGATTTGATGCAGTGACCCCTGCATCGTGAGAGCCCTGAGAACACAGGGAATCCTGTCTTTGAGGACAGGGTGCCAACCATGAACACATTGTCATGCCTACAGTGGGGGCATAAGGTCACAGATACACCTGCTCAGAGGAGCCCTCCAGAGGATAGTGCCCCGGGCCCAGGTCCATCAAAGCATTTCAGAAGAGGGGGCTTGAGTCAAGTACATGCTGGGTTACCCCTGATAAGCCCTTCCACAAGGCACGCTTGGGAGAATACCAAGAGCTTTGGAAGCACTCCATAAACTGTGAATTGCATTATAAATGCTAATTATCAATTAGAAGGTGTTTGCTCTGGAATGTGATAAAGTTCAAATTGCTTAGCATGACTATCACAGCAGCTGACAATCGGACTCAGGGTTGTCACCTGCAGTCACCCTGGGCTGCAGAATCCAGACATGCAAACATCCCACACCAGCTGCACCTGGCCACACCTCTATGCTGCTCCCTCGTCTGGGGCACCTGCCCCTGACCTGCTTCTCTGTCAGAACTGAAATCCATATCACCCTGCAGGCACTGTGCATGCCCAACACAAAGCTGGGAACATAGCTTCCCTCTCCTCCACAGACACACTTCAGCAAAGTCAGGAAGGACCAAACTGGCCTCTTCTCAAGATGCCTGTTTCTGATAATCCAGTAGGTGGGTCAGCCCCATAGCTGGGTCTTCTCGTGATTCTTCCTGCACATAGTCAGAGTGAAGGGCAGAGCTGTGAGCCCACAGGTAAACCTTTTCTTGCAATGTGAGTATGTCCCGCATTTGTTACAGCAACACAAACCAGGGAGAGGGAAGTCACCTAGTGTTCAATGATAGAGGAGGCTAGATGAATTAAAGAAAAGATGAAAACCTACTAGCCGACTACTCAACTTATTCTTTACATGTATTTAAAAATAAAGAAAAATGTTCAATTAAATGGAAAATTGAAGCTAAAAACAGTTTTATGGTGTGATCCTATTATTATACAAAACTAGAAAAAAAACATAATGACATGAAGATATATAAAATCAAGATAGGGTATGGGAATGAGAGTACAGATGATTTTAACTCTTTCCTATATATATATACATATATATAATTTCTCAATATTCTATGAGATATTATTCTGTATGTTATCAGGCAAAATAAATGTGGTTTAATTTTTTTTTAATTACCTTGACTCAAATGACCCAAATTTATGTATTATGGAGTTTATGTATTATAATAGTCATCCAGCCAGACAGCCTAGGAAAAAATGGTATATCTTATGATGCTGGCTGTGCTCATGGTCACCAGGGATGTGACAGAAGCAGAGGAAGACTGGGAATTTGCAGATGTGGAGTGGGGGTTCATGGACTGTGGAAGTCCTTTCTACACTAAGACCTGCATGAAGTGGACAGGCACCCACCACCTGCTCTACTCTTCTGCAGCAAGTTGGACGGCACCAAACTTGCTGCAGCCAGGAGCAGACTGGGGTGCAGGGACAGGATGTGGGAGGAGTGCACCACAGGCATGCCGAGCAGGATCCAAGGTGACTCCTGAGCTGAGAGCCAGGAAACGGTGGATACCAGCTGGAAGACTGCTAGAAGAGGGCTTGGGAAGCAGGCCCCTCATTGGCAGGCACCCCACCTCTGAGGAATTGCTAGCCCCTGCCCTCAGCTCCATCTGTAAGTGAGGACAATGGCCTTAGTTTTGCCTGCATTTGAGGGATTTTTAAGCAGCAAAAGGACTAACAAATGCAGCCCACTCCCTGCATGTGAGAGACCTGTGATTGTCATTATCCAGGCAGGCTTCACGCTTACCCACTTCATTTTGAAAAAACCCAAACCATCCCCTAAACAACAGTTTCGCATAAATGCATCCTTGGAAGCCGTGAAGGCTCCAATTAAGATTTTGATGTCTAAAATAAAATGCATGCCATCTCTTCTGATAAAGTAATTTACTAACACCCTACATAAAGGATCCTTTTCATTTAAATAGAGAAGAAATCTTAATAATGGATGATTGCTTTATGAATATGAAAATTATATATTCATTGCATAATCAGCCATTTAATTGACACATCATTGCATCTCCTATGGAGTGTGTGGAACAGATTTGACACCACGTGACAGATTGATTGTTCCATGCTTCTTTTTGAAAGCAAGAGGACTGCCATTTAGCTAAGATTATGTGGAAATATACAATTGAAATCCTCCATTATTAAGCATGTGCTGTGTGCAAGAAGAGATTGTTGGGGAGTTTGCAATCTTTAGGGAGAATCCCTCATCACAATAAAGCTCAGAATTCATGAGACTAGCACACAGAGTATTCTAATACAATTTGGATTAAGATCTGCAGCAGAAAAGACTTTCCACTGAAATGAGGAAAGAGAAAAACAAGCAAAATGAAAGCCAAGCCATAAGGACCAACTATGGCCCAAACTTACCCTGCTGTTTAATCCACAGCAGAGCACTGTCGAGTTATGTCAACACTGTTGACTTATGTCAACACATAAGAATCCAAGCCTCAGCAATATACATCCACCTTCTTGAATGTGGGTTATAGGATCAAGAAGAGAATCTTCCAGTTTGAAACATCCACTTACTGCTTGTTGGAGTTTGGACCTAGAACAGCCCTGGGGCTCATGTGTTGAAGGCTTAGTTCTTAATGCAGTAGTGTTCAGAGGTGGGCTTTTTGACCTTGAGGGCTCTGAACTCATCAGTGGGTTAATCCATTGAGGGATGGATAGAGTAAGAGAGTAGATAGAGTAGAAACTCTCAGAGGTGGGGTCTAGTTGGAGGAAGAGGTCACTAGGGGCATATGTCCTTGATGGATATATCTTGTCCACCACCCTTTAGTCTCTGTCTTTCTCTTTCTAGCTGCCTTAGATGAGCAGCTTTCCTCCACCACACTCTTCCCTCCAAGCAACAGAGCCAGCTGACAGTGATTGAAACTTCTGAGACTGAGTCAAAACAAACCTTTCCTCCTCTTAAGTTGTTTATCTCAGGTAATTTGTCATGGCAATGAAAAGTTGAATAACACACTGATTCATACCAGTTGCCTTCCTCATGAGTTACAAACAAGAAAACCTCACAATGTTCCTGGTAGGAACAACGTCAGAGCAATAGGACAGGGGTCATCCCGAGAAGACTGGGAAGGATGGAGCAGTGTGTGGGCTAAAGACAGAGGGGTATCCTACAGGGAGGCAAAGAGCACAGCAAGTTCACTGTGTTGTCCAGGGGAGCTGGTTACTACATGGACATGTGCCTAAAGAAGCAGCCTGGACAAAGTGCTCCTTCCTGGAAGGGAACACTGAGCCCTCCACAAGACGCTCTGGGCTTTGTCCATATGTGTCCTTGGGGATCAGGAGCAGAGGTGGGGAGGCAGGAGACCCCTCAGGGCTGTTCTATCCCCACATGTATGTTAGCCAGGGTCCTGCCCAGGGCAGTGGCATGGGCAGATTTCAGGAGTCATTACCACGGGGCTCTGAGATGGGCTGGCTCTGGGGATGGCATGGGAATGGAGCCAAAGGATGTCAGCAAAGGAGCCAGAGGGACCCCAGAGAACCTCAGAATCCAGACTTCTCAAAGAATAAGATTGCCAACTACAGCCAATAAGAATAAGGATGGCTCGTTCAATGTGAATTCCAGGCAAAAGACAATTTGCTTTTCTTTTTTAACATAAATATGTCCCTAAGATTGCACAGAAATGAAAGTTCTCTGAAATTCATGTTTAACGGAGTGTTCTGTATTTTATCTGGTTATCTATTCCAGAGGGACAAAAAACTCCAAGTCACCTACTCTGTCTCCCTACAAGTGGGCCCTTGGGCACCTCAAAGCAACAGCCCCTACCACCTGCAGCTGGCTGTGCTTGCCCTGGGCTGCAGGTGTGCTGCTCACAGCCCAGACACAGAGGTTCGTGGCCAGTTTGCACGTCAATACAAGCTGACCCCCATTTTGAATGTGTATGACAGAGAACCATGAGGAAAATCAGTGACGGAGCAGTATGAACAACGCTGGGATTCAAGGGACACAAACACCACATAATCACTTGGGCTGTCCTCAGCAAAAGGGAAAAATAGGAATACTCCGGAAAGAAAAAATTAAAAATTACCTTCCTGCTGCTTTTCCTCTTCTTCCCCTTCAGTACGTATTGACCTCTGGAGTGACAGGCCCCTTGCAGCATGGCTACGAAGATGAGTGAGCCACAGCCCCACTGGCTGCCTTGTGACCAGGTTTTATATGCTGGTGTTGCCACTCACGAGCCCTGTCACCTGTCATTGATCCTGAAAATGGGTATAATAGTACATTCATGCAATGTTGTTTTAGGGGTCAATTTAAATAACGTAACCACTTAGGCAAAATAACATTTACCAAAAGCTGGCTGGCTTCTCTGACTCCATCCACATTTTCTGTTCATGGAAAAAGATAGATGACTTCATAATCACAACGCAGTGAGCGGATGATGCGATTGGGTGGGGGCCCAGGGGCACGGGGCATTTAGCTGTGTCTGAAGGTGTGAGGCGTGCCACACAGACTTCTAAACATCGGATCTGCGAGGCTTCCTTCCGGTGAGATGCTACTCTCCTCCACCCTTGTTATCCCATTCAGTCTATGCAGTTGTTTGGGACTCCTCCAGTCCCCAGAACAGGGCACATGACCTACACCCAGACAGTCACTTCTGGTCTGTTATAAGAATGATCTGCAAAGACTCCCAACTGTCCTCTGAGATTTAGAACCCCAACCGGTCACCAAAGCCTAGAATTCTGGGGCATTCTGCAATCATACCTGAGAATGAAGAGGGACACTTGTGACATAATTCAGACCTGGACTGAACTATGTCTGAAGCCAGAGTCATCTCCTGGACTTACACATCCAGGACCCTATGGAGGCTCCTTTGTTCTAAGCCGGTTTGGTTCAAAGCTTTGCTCCTTGTGGTTAGTTCTCATGCTAGGTAACATCTTGCATTAAATTCTCAAATACTTAGTGTCGGCCAAACTAAATAAAAGATGCCCTGCTAAATGGAAGACACCATTTAGAGACAAGTAGTATGAAAACCTATCAAAATTTATTTCTTTCAAGACCAAATTGTTATTTGACCAATGGGATCTACATTTCAAGTTGTTATTAGATGTTTCTATTTGAGTTTTATTTTGAAGGTGACAATTCCTCCAGATGTGGGACAATAATAAATCAAAAAATTTTATTCTTAGTTAAACTATAAATCAAATTCCACTAATATACTTTAAGGAATTGTTGATATTTTCCAGAATATTTAATAAGATGTAGATTGTGGAAAAATCAAAGCTCACAATGTAGATGGTGATTCATGGTAAATTATGTCTTTTCCTAAATTCTTAAAACATTTCTGAGTTAGCTCCAAAATATTTTTTTTTTTAGTGTAGGACATTTAATTTTTTATAAAGTTGAGTTTTCTTGTATGCTGAGATTTTAGGAATATTCAGTTTCTATCAGCTCTACTTCATTTCAGCAAACCCATCAGAACAGAGCACCTTTCTTTATCCGGGAGGCTTCATAGTGTAGTTTATTAACACCCTCTGGACACGGAAACACATCACCCTCTCATCTTTTTGAACTATAGACATAGACATATTTCAACTTCAATTTCAGCCAAAGATCAAGAGACAAACACACAAAAAATCACAAATCCAGATCTCAAAGAACAGTTGTCTTGGCCAGGGGCCATGGAATTCTCAATCTGATTTGAACGCCAGTAAACAAATAGAGATACAAGCAAAAAAACCCTAAAACCCAAATTCTCTGTCATTTCTCACCTAACAGACTAGATGTCTATGCTCCAGGAAGCCATTTACAGAGACCGACAAATGGTCAGGTCATAAACCAAACCCCCAATCCTTGCCACCACCAAGGGGCAGTCACTGAGGTCACTGAATCAAAAACAAACGACACACAAAGTTAGTAGGGAGAGCCACAAGACAGAGTGAGCGAGTCCCACTGCCACTCGGAACTCACACTGTCGCCAAGGAAAGATGCTCCTGAGCATGGCCAGTCAGCTCTGGCCCCTCTGGCCTGCCTCTGGCCTGCCTCTGGCACATGGCACTCAAACATCCATAGAGCTCAGTGGATGAACTTTCCCACTGGAAAAGGATACTACTTTTAAAAAGAAACCTCATGGCCCTTGTGCACATACAAAGTGACTCTGTGACAAAGATTTTATTTCATATTTAATAATGAAGAAAACAATGATATGTGGCTACTGGCTCCGTATAATTAGTTTAATTTTATGATGACCTCAGAAGATTGATTGAAAACAATCAACTTGGCCTGTGAGTGACCTTTGTGCTGTGAATGTGCAAGTGGCCTTGTGCATTCCAGCTAGTGGATCACTCACTACTACACTCAGCTTATGCTACAAGTGATTCAAAAGGGAACATCAGAGAGTATGTGGATATGTGAATGGGGGAGGGGAGGTTTGGCACCTTTCCCAAGGGGAGGTCTAGAAGTGGCACCTGCTCTACTAGTTTGAGCAGTTTCACACTACAAGTCCCTATTAAACAATTAGGAGAGGCCAATAGTATAATGTTAAATTCCTTGGGATCATGCAAAGAACTGGAAAACCCAAAACAGTTCATAGCATTTATTCCTGTCTCCTCAATAAAATGCTGGAGTATTTTTCTTAAAAAAAAAACTGAAACAGAGAGTAATGTACCTACTAAAATAATTTAACCTAAAATAGATTTAGAACATTTCATAACAAGATCTATACATACATGTGTATACACACATGTGCATGCATATCTACATTAAAAATGTATAAATAGCATATAATGTGTCATGCCAACATACGGTATACTTGCTGAATACCAGTGATTCAGGAGGCCAAGGAGGAGGATCACAAGTTCAAGGCCAGTCTCAGCAACTTAGCAAGACTATGTCTCAGGATAAAAAGAACTTTAAAAAATAAATAAATTAAAGGGCTGGGGTGTAGCATTTGCTGAAAATGTACAGCAAGCCAGCTCTTCAGTAATTTCTTTGAAAGATAAACCAAGGGACAGTGGACCAAGTCTGGGCTTCCAGTCATGGCCATGGAGGCGTGAGGTATGCATGGACTATTGATGAGCTTTGCATTGTTTGTGCCTGGGGTAAGTTTCTTTCCTTCTCTGACTTTCGGTTTCCTCCACTGTCGACTGCTCCTGGTGCTGGAAGCTTTGTCTGCGCCTTATTTTCCACTGAGGATTGAATAAGTGGCAGCAAGGAAAGAAGGGAGGGATCGGAGAAAAGGAGGCTGAGGAATGGAAGAAAGAGAGCCCTCGGTTGCTACACCTCTGGGGAGTTGTTCAATCCACACTTTCCAAGGATCATCTTGCAAGAGATTAAAGCCCTCTGGGGACACGTGAGGACACCCACAAGGAGACTGGGGGACCATTTGGGACAGAGCTTCATACAGGCTCCCCAGAGTAGTGAGCTCTTTAACACTCCTGCCAGCCTTGCAAAGGAGTGTGAGCAGTGCTGGCAACAGGAGGAGAGTAGTCAAGGAATGGACAAACTGTAATTCCTTTATAAATGATAAAAATGATCCTGAAATGATCGATGTAGATGGTGTGCTATTGATTGGAAAAGAAGGAATTGTAAAGGCCATTTAGGTAGACATTTCAGACTCATCAACCAACATTTGAGGTTGCTTGTCGTTAATCACTGATGTGGTAGAAGTCCCAAAACACACCTGAGAATGACACACGTCAATTTAGAACGTGGTTGCATGTAGGAGATGACAGCTTTAGCTATTGGAGCTATCGTGACTATTCTACATGGTCGGTGCCATGGTGTCTGATGCACTTTACATACATTTCTATCATTTATTCATAATAACACTTTTTAAAGCCCTGTACACAAGTATTTCAGTGTGAGATGTTCGCCTTCAACGAGTCAGTTGTTAGATGGGGTACATTAACTTCCACATTCTAGGAAAAGGTCACCAACATGAGCCCAGAGTCCTTTCCCGGCCAAGTGCAATTATGTTATTTTTTGTTTATAATTAAAAAGAAATTATCCATGACCTTCCGCATCATGTTCTCCAAAAGTCTTCCTTTTCCACCTGCTGCTTGGTTCTGGGAGGTGCAGAACAGGCTGAACTATGTTATCTGCAGGGCAGGCTGAACAGATGTTAGCTGCAGGATGGCCCACGCACTCAAACCCCCCTCTGTCTGGTCCTTTATCACCTGTTTGCGTCAAAGCTGAACATTCAACCCCCCCCCCGCCCGCTCCAAGGCTGAACACTCAACCCCCCCTTGTGCCAACAAGGCAGCTTGCAGACCCAGAGGCCCCGTTAGATTTGGGCTATAAAAACTCCCTCCTGCTGGGCCCCTCTCTCTCTTGCTCTCTTGCTCTGTCTCTCTCTCTCTCTCTGTCTCCCTTGCGTGCATGCTCTCTGCTCTCTCTCTCCTCTCTCTCTCTCTCTCTCTCTCTCTCTCTCTCTCTCTCTCTCTCTCTCTTTTCTCCTCTGTTGCACTGCTGCAAAAAGATCTCTTGGTCGCTCCTAGTGAGTGTTGTGGTCACTTTCCTTTCAGGTTCCACAGCCTCTTCCATCGCAGGTCCGGTTATAACCAACCCACTTCCAGATCCTGGCCACTCATTTTCGATTTGTTGTTCCCTAATGATGTTATCACATCTATAATAGATTAAAACAGACACACTGATCTCACATGGGGACAGGAGTCCAGGACAGCTCAGCAGAGTGCTCTTCTCCAGAGTCTTGCGAGGTTATAATGAAGTCCTCGGCCAGATCTCCTGTCTCATGGGAGTTGGGCCTGGGAAGGACTTGCTTCAAGCTCGGGGCACTGATGGAAGTGTTCAGTGTTTTCACATGTTCAGACTGAGGGTGTCTGTTGCTCACCCTTCTCTGGCTGGAAACTGCCCTCAGGTCCTTGCTACATGGTCTTCTCCAAGGGCAGCTCACAACATAACATGGTCTTTACCACCAGCAAGAGGGAGCAAGTCTCCTGCAAGAGAAGCAGACCTTGCAACTTCCCGCACTGTTACCATAAACATGTGACCATGGCTTACGTGGTCCTCCTCCCTTGGCTGTCATCTCTTGGTAAGGAGCAAATCCTGGGATCTGCACCCACTCATCAGGACCAGAAGGCAGGGATCAGGGAGGACCTCTACATTCTGCCCACCATGGACCTCTGATCTTCCTTTAGGCTTGCCTTCCTCTGATCTGACTTGTGTATTTCATACCTCTTGAATTCATTTTCCATTTGCAAAATGACTTATTTTCTAGTCCCTGGCTTTTGGCCAGCAACCCCAACCCACCTCTCTCCCTTGTGTAGAGGATGGTCTCCCTAAGCACTGGGACCCTGTCCCTTCTCTGTTGCAGAAATGCCTCATGCAACTGCCTTTCATCAGCAGCTCCATATAAAACCTGCTGAGTAACTGCTCTAGCCCACACTCTGCAAGTGACACTTTCCCATATATTTTCTCTAAACATGTAATCTTGCTATAATTGAGGTATTTGAAATCCATTTTACAAATGAGAAACTGGAGACGCAGATCAATTGATTGTCTTTCCCATAGCACATAGTAGACAATGGCAGGGGTGGGATTGAATCTAAATCCCTCTATTTTTTCCACTGCACCCACCACCTTTTAAATACCTATCTACCTGTATTTCCAAGGTTTCAAGCTGTTTATAAACAGCTCCACCAGTCTCTAGGCAAACAGCTGG